CAGCATCATATGGTCATATGAACACACATTGTGAGTTTTTTTTGCCAGTTTCTGACAAAAAACACCCATTCAGGAGAATGGATTTGGACTTAATGATTATATGATTCACTTAGTGAACATATAAAAATAGTCGTAAAATTGGGTCCAGTCACATGGATGCCTTGATTTACAACAGTCATGACTTTTGACTGAAATTATGTTCTAATTGCAATCAAAAGTTGAGGATTATCTTATCAGGTTGTATGCACTTCTGGATTGAAAAGATTAGCTGATGACATCTCCATTGCCTAGGGGATGCCCGTGGTGGCTCCTTTCATGTCCCCATCAAGGAGCCGAAGTGAGTGACAGGAGCTCACCCACCATGCAACAGCACTCGGGTCTCAAATGTGGGCCTCCTAATCTCCAACCCAGTGGCCTATCACATGAGCTGCCGCACTCCTTATCAGCTTGTGAGAAGCTGTTTTAGCATCCTATACACAAATGAATATAATTATTGCAATAAGAGTATTCCCAAGTCTCTCTCTAAATTTCTATTCCAAATGTTCTCCTTAATTAGAGAAATTCTCTTAATTAAAATTGAAATTAAGCTGGTTTTCTTTCCAATGTAAACTATTGGGGTTGAATGTCTAGTACAGAAAATAATCCTTTGAAAATTAGAACAGCATTCACTTAGCAATAACATATTCATTATTTATAGATAATTCAGTTTCAGATTAATTCTTACACTATTCAAAATCAAAACTTCTTTTTATCTTCTTTAAACCTTTCTAATAATAGTACCTAAGAAAAGTATTAACATGCATATCCCTCTTATGGTCAGATCTTCTGATTTTATTTTGACCTCTCCCTATGAAAATATTACTATGTTATTATAAAATAACTATTTATATTTAATTATCATTTCTTTTCTATAATATGCTTCCTGTAATGAAAACTACTTTCTGGATTTATATCTATTCCGTTTTCTCAATATGGCATGTCTAACAAAGTGATCTTTAAAAACTACATTAACATACCACAAATAATTCTGCCACCCAAACCTCAAATCATCTCCTTCTAACTCCCAATAATTTTCTATTTCTCAGCATCTCTCATATAAATTAATCAACAAACTGCAAAATATAATTTCAAATTAGATATAGTCAAATTTCCTTTTTCATTAGCATCTTGTAACACCTTAGATCTAACTCACTCTTTTTATCTTTATGCAATTTTTCTTTCTTTCTGCCATTATTTAAATGATACATTAATTGTCAAAACAGGTATGGTCTAAAAAACAACAACATTCTAGGTACAATATTCATCTTAATCACAGAAATTCTTCCCAATAACGACAATTCTAATTTTTCCTTTCTTAATGTAACTTTTTAAACTTCATTTCATATTTTAACATAATTATTTTGTAACAACATATAATTTATATTTGTCAAATTAATACCCAAATATTTTACATTTTTCTCAATCTTAAAACATGTATTGTTCATCAATTCAGCTAGATCTTACCTCTTCATATGTTTGTTACCATCTTCCTTTTATTAATTTTAAAAGCACCTAAAGCAACAAATTATTTTAATTTTCTCATTAATAATTCAATCCCTTTAAAGTATTTTCCAAAATCAGCATTAAATCATCTGTAAAAGCTCTCAACTTGTATTTTTTAAATTTTTTACATTTATTCTCCTATGCGCTTTCATTGTTCCTTATATTTCCGTTTAAAACTTCCAAAAACGGAAATAATGGACAATCTTGTGTAGTTCTGTTTTGTCTCTCACAAGGTTTTGTTAGATCTCTATTAACAAAAATTATTTGTTCTTTCTGTGACGTATAAGTTGATTTTACCCATTTTATAAAATTCTCTCCAAATCCACTTCTTCCAAAACTTCAAATAAAAAAGTCAATTTAAATTGTCAAAACCTTTCTTTACATTTAAAAAAATAATTCAACTTGTTTGTTATTATGCTGTTCCAAGTGTTCTATAATGTCCATCATCTTTCTGGCATTATTTTTAACTGTAAAATATACATTGATCTTCTTTAATAAATTCTTCAGAATTATTTACAATCTGCTTAAGACATTATAAATAACTTATAATCACTATTCAGTAGTGATATTGGTTTTTAATTTCTTGTTGAAGTTAAATCTTGCCCCTCTTTAGGTTTCATTCATTCATACATACATTTTGTGTGTCTGTTTGCTTATCTAGCTATCTGTCTGTCTGTCTGTCTATTTATCCCCCCCTCTATTGTCTACTGATTACTAAGTCTTAGATTATCCTGTATATAATATCTGTTTTCAAAGGATTAATTCATTATATGCTATCAAGTTGGTGTTGACTTGCCAGTCAGTTTTCAGATCCAATTCAAAGTGTTGAATTTAAAGCCCTCCATAGCCTGAGTACAGGATATCTGAGGAACCATCTTTTTCCAATGGGATTGGCCTGCCTCACTCACTGTGGCAGAAAAGACCCACTGCAGATCTTATAAGCTAAGGAATATAGCTCTTTTTATATTTAATCCAAAATTTATTTATCTCATGTGCCTTAAGTACTATCATTTATCTTACTTCAGAAAAATTGAAACAGCTATTTGTTTCTGTCATAATTTTCCTAGAAATGGTTTATTCATTTGAATTATTTGTGGTTTTATTTTACAATAAATACATACTTGTTAATGTTTTAAAAATACTTGCTCTATATTTTTACTTTTTATTACAAAATTATAGTATACAAATACCAAAGTTAGTAATTAAGCAAAGAAAGGATGATAATCAACTCTGAAAATTAGGCTCTCCAGTTGTTTTTCTGGTTTAACTGCAGATGGTTTATAGAGCGGGGCAATCCAACACCCCAGTTCGCAATCAGCTAGTGGGACGCGGTCCATTGGGAACCAGTCCGTGCAATCGGCAGGCAAGCACATTAGTGTGTGAAGCTCCATTTGTGCAACAGCAGGAGCAGGTGCAAAGCACACCGTTCCCCCCCCCCTTCTGCTGCTGCCATTGCTGGTCCGCAGAGCTGGAAAGGTTGGGACCACTGCTATAGAGGAAAAAGCATGCCTTCGGTACAAGCAACCTAAATTTTCCATGGCAGAGCCATAATCTGAAATTATATTATGTGAGAGTATAGTTTGCAGAACATCACTTGTTATAGAATAGAGTAGAGTAGAGTAGAGTAGAGTAGAGTAGAATAGAATAGAATAGAATAGAATAGAATAGAATAGAATAGAACAGAACAGAACAGAACAGTGGTTTTTAACCTTTTTGAACGAATCACTCCCTTGAGCCAATGAGGAAGTTGTCATTGCCCCCTTCCCCCAACATACCTCTCAATCACAACATAGGAATTCTTCGATTTATGCAAACACTTTTTTGTTTTCTTTAAAATTGTCATCAGGACATATAGATGCAAATAATTTATTTCCAGTCTTTTTCCCATATTCTGGCCAATGGTGCCCCACTTTATGGGTAGAGGCTGCTGCGCAAAGCACATGAAAAGCGATGCGTATTCACATATGTACGACGTTCTATACTGAAGCTAGCTGGAGGAACATTTGAAAACACAATTCAATCCACTAATAGCAAGCGATCTGATGTTTTTGTACGACAGATATACAGCGATTCACTATACAAAAAAGTCTCAAAAGTGTCCCCAAAACTTCTCGCTCCATTGCCCCCATATTGCCCCCTTTTCATTCCTTTGCCCACGCATTGCCCCTTTTCGTTCCATCGCCCCCCCTGAAAAATGAAATCGCCCCCTGGGGGGCAATATCACCCAGGTTAAGAACCACTGGAATAGAATAGAATAGAATAGAATAGAATAGAATAGAATAGAATAGAATAGAATAGAGCTGGAAGGGACCTTGGAGGTCTTCTAGTCCAGCCCCTGCTCAAGCAGGAGAACCTATATCATTTCAGACAAGTGACTGTCTAGTCTCCTCTTAAAAATCTCCAGTGATGGAGCACCCACGATTTCCAGAGGCAAGCTGTTCCATTGTTAATTGTCCTCACTGTTAGGAAGTTTCTCCTTATTTCCAGGTTGCTTCTCTCTTTGGTCAGCTTCCAGCCATTGTTTCTTGTCTTGCCCTGTAGTGCTCTGGAGAATAGTTTAATGCCCTCTTCTTGAATACCCCTTAAATACTTGAATACTGCCATCATGTCTCCCCTATTTCTTCTTTTCTTTAGATTAGCCAAACCTGATTCCTGCAGCCATTCTTCATAAGTTTTAGTCTCCCAGCCTTTGATCATTTTAGTTGCTCTTCTCTGAACTTTTTCAAAGGTCTCTTTTTTATAGTATGGTGACCAAAATTGGTTGCAGTATTCCAAGTGTAGTCTTACTAGGGTACTATTATTTCATGTGATCTTGATTCTATGCCTCTGTATATATAACCCAGGATTGTATTAGCATTTTTGGCTGCTGCTGCAAACTGCTGGCTCATAGTCAAGTGATCGTCCACTAGAACTCCAAAGTCCTACCACAGTTACTGTTTCTGATCCAGGTCTCGCCTAATCTGTACTTGTACCTTTGATTTTTTTTTTCCTGCCTAAATGTAAAACTTTGTTTTTCTCCACATTAAAACTCATTTTGTTGGATAGGGCCCATTGTTCAAGTTTGTCAAGATCATTTTGGATCCTGGCTTGTCTTCTGGGGTGTTGGCTATTCCTGCTAGTTTAGCGTCATCTGCAAATTTGATGAGTTCCCCTTCTAAGTCATGAATAAAGATATTGAAGAGTACTGGGCCTAAGATGGAGCTTTGTGGTACCCCACTGCTTACTTATCTCCATGTGGATGTAGTACCATTGAGGACTACTCACTGAGTATGGTTTTTCAGCCAGCTACAAATCCATCTGGTGTTGTTGTTGTTGTCTATCCCACCTTTTTCTAGCTTACTAAGCAGCAGGTTGTGATCTACTTTGTCAAATATCATTTTAAAAATAATATTTAGCATCAACATCATTAGATTGGACTTTGAGAACTTCTCAGTTCCAAAATCTTATTGTTCTTTCAGTTCAACCTCCAACAGGATATGCCAAATGCTTTCTCTCGCTGTGACTTAATGGAAAATCTTCTTCAGAATGGTTGCACAAAAGATTTTATAGAGTATCCAATCAGCAGGACCTTCACACGGGAGGCCAGACCTCTTAGTGCCAAAGGATCAGGGAGTAACATCACCCAAATATTTCCACAGAAGATTGAGCTCCACCTGCGTCCAGGTAAAACCAGATACACTATTTGATTTACCCACAGAAAGCCTTGCATTAATTCCTCACCATCTCTAGAGAAATAGTAAGAAATAGAGAAGAAAGCATCTACTAAGAGTTTGAATGACTGCTTCACTTGATTGATAATGCTGCAAACATGGTCATAGACAATATGATGATAGCTTGATAATTTCAGAGTTGTCCTATGATAGCTTCATTGACTTGACAATTAGCTATTTATTCATGATGGACATATTACCTTCCAGCAATGATAGTCAACTTTTGAGATCTTATGGGCATACTGGGAATCTGAGGACAAATTGCAGCTGCTATTTACAAAATGGCTACTATACTGGTCATGTCCAGTCTTTAAACTTTTATTTATTAGAAAGGCCTACTGCTCTTTGGCTTTCAAGGCCAAAAAGCAGACTTAAACAAGGTTGTTGTTGTTATTGTTATTGTTAAGAATGTGGACACATTTCTTGGCAAAGCATTTGCTAGCAGCCACCCATTATTTTTATTTCCCAGGGATGCCTATGAGACCTAACTTGTATTTGGAACCATTATTGCTGCCTTGCCTTGTTATATGTCTTTTTTAATTATTTGTAATTATATATTTGAATATTGTAAGTCAATATGCAAATAACAATCTGGAGTATATGGTTGTAATGAGAAATAATGTGATTTTGCACTATTTCATGTCAACTTACTACATTGATTTTTATTAAAGTATAAAGAGAAAGAAAAGACATTGGCTGAAGCTAGAAGTCTGGCAATGACAAAAAAAGAGGATGTCTACAGATATGTTTGTGCTAGGCCATCAAACTGAACTGATCTGGAATATTGATCCCATATGGCCAGAAATATCAGTCATGGGAAAAAGAATGGTGCATATTTGGGTTTGTTTATAATAACTGAAGCCTGTGACAATGTGACTTGAGTAAATCAAACATTTGGAAAGAGTAAACTAAGTTGAAATCTTTGGAAAAATATCCCTCATCTTTAGTCTTTCAGCCCTTATCTATTTTTGCTATTTCAGATGACTCCCAAATTTTCTCAATACAAGTGCGCCAGGTGGAAGATTATCCCGTGGACATCTACTATCTAATGGATTTGTCCAATTCCATGAAGGATGACCTCCACAATATCCAGAACTTAGGTACCAATCTAGCCATGAAAATGCGCAAAGTGACCAGCAACCTGAGGATTGGCTTTGGAGCTTTTGTGGACAAACCCTTGTCCCCTTACATGTACATTTCTCCTCCAGAGGCCATTGAAAACCCATGTTATGAGTAAGTTCTCTATTCAGAAGAAACACTGATGATTCAATCTTTGTTAAACAAACCTGAGTTCCCCAGTTGCAATTGAGGTTAGCTCCCATTACCTTGGGTCAACTTGGCCAAAAATCAGAGATGAAGGGTGTGGCAGCCTAGAAGCATCTCAAACACCTCAGATACCCTATCTCTAATGCTAAAATTTATAAACTGTAATTCTAAAGATTACTAAATGTGTATTTCTGTTCCCTCTTTATCTTAAATATGTGCAGACAGAATGATATATTTCTTTCTTAATATCATGTAAAAAATCTAGGGAATTTCATGAGGTTTATTTCATTTTATTCATTTGTATAGCTGCCCATCTTAACAAATAGCTCTAGGCAGCAAAAAAAATCAAATAAAAATAAAACAATTACAACCACAAATACAAAATTTAAAAAGGCATAGCAGCCAAGGAAAACATCATAGTGTATAGCATTAATAGGAGATAGATTCCTTCACACACTTGGGGATCTAGATCCAGACACAGAATCAGGTCTTCAGAGCCTTATAAAAAGCCAGGAAGATTGGGGCCTTCTTGTCTCCAGTGGGAGAAGGTTTCATAGGGTGGGCACCATAACACAAAGGGACACCTTCTGAATCCTGCCAACCAACAGTCTTTAGCCAATGGGATTCAAAGTATGCCCATCCTGCCAAAGTGCATCAGGCAGATAGAAAAAACCAGAGTGAAGTGTTCACTCAAGTAACCCAGTCTCAAACCTTGAAGGGCTGTAAAGATGTCAACCAGTGCCTTTAATTATGTCTGGAACCACATTGGCTCACAAAGTAGTGGTGTTATATGGGCTAAGTAACTCCAGGAATGAGTAGTAGCTGGGTTCCTCCTTAGCAATTTCAACTATTTATTCTTGACTCTAATGGCACTAAATAACTAATGTATTTAATGAGAGCACTGCCAAACTTCCATATGCTTTTGGAAATTACTGTGATGGAGGGGAAGAGTTGGGTTAATGACCCTTTAATAGATTGGGTTGTTTAGCTGAGAGGGTGCGTAACTTGAGGCCAATAGCTGTGCTAAATTCTGTGGACTTCCTTGGATTTTTAGTTTCCTGTTACCTTTTCTAAGCTTAATATGCTATCATTTAGCTTGAAACCACCAAATGATCACTGCCTGCCAATGTTTGGCTACAAGCATGTCCTAGCTCTCACAGATGAGGTCAAGCGTTTCAATGAGGAGGTGAAGAAGCAAAGTGTGTCTAAGAATCGAGATGCACCTGAAGGAGGATTTGATGCCATTATCCAAGCAGTTGTCTGTGATGTAAGAGGCCATCTCTATTATGGGGGATTCAGCATAATTTTGTTATTATTGTTGTTGTTATAAATTTGTTATTGTTTGACAGCTTTTTAGAAATTTAAGAGTATCTTAGGAGAAAAATCTATTTCTCAACAAATCATTACTCTGGTGCTAATTAAGTCGGCAAAGATGTATGGGCTGGATTTCTCTTTGGGGGCCTGAGATATTTTGTCTCCTAAACATCGAACAACTTTATGTTTTCAGAAATCAACCATACTTCGGTTGTCATATATAGTTATTAAAGGGATAGAAGGAACATCCCCTAACCCAAGAATTCATTGGCCGGCCTGCCTTTAAACACTTGGAGATTTTTTTTCTCTCTCAATTATTGAGTATGGGAGTGGGTGACCTGTTGGATGAGTTTTTTCCCGGTCTGATTGATGCACCTTGGCATTTTGACTGCTATACTGCAGCTCTATTTTTTTATAATCTCTTTTGCCTTGCAGCCCCCCAACTAGGGGCGTTAAGCAGGCTCAAGTTGCAACTTCAATATATTACAGATTCAGATTGGTGGTTAATACAACTGCCTAGCATGCAGATTGCCCTGGTTCGAATCCCATAAAGGGTGTGGCTAGCTGATGAGGACAAAATGAGTCTGAAATAGCTATACTAGTCTCCCATTTAAATCTTTAACTCTTTGTCAGCAAAAAGAAATCTGAAATATACACATGTGTGTGTGTGTGTGTGTTGCTATTTTGCACTGTGACTTTTTACATTTTGTTTTATTATATATGACTCTTACTGATTTTTATTATTGAATTTAATAATAAAAATATTTTTTTTAAAAAGGCATGAGTCAGCCCTATATAGGTAGTCCTCGACCTAACAATAGTTCATTTAATGAGCGCCCGAAGCTACAACGGCACTGAAAAAAGTGATTTATAACCATTTTTCACACTTACAATCATTGCAGATCCCCATGGTCACATGATCAAAATTCAGATGCTTGGCAATTGGTTCATATTTATGATGGCTGCAGTGTCCTGGGGTCACGGGATCAGCTTTTGCACCTTCTGACGAGCAAAGTCAATGGGGGATCCAAATTCACTTAACAACCAAGTTACTAACTTAACAAATGCAACGCTCCAGTTAACAATTTGGCAAGAAAAGTAAAAAAAAAATGGGGCAAAACTCACTTAACACATGTTTCACTTAGCAACATAAATTTTGGGCTCAATTGTAGTTGTAACTCGAGGATTACCTATACACCACTTCTTTTCCACCATTTATATTTCAGCCTTAAAGAGTTAACTAATTCCCTCTGATTGGTGCTGTGAATATCTTTGTGGACTTCTTCTTTATGGGGTTTTGATTTTGTTTTGAACATATAATGGAGACTATTTTCTTACAGGATAAAATTGGCTGGAGACCTGATGCCTCCCACTTGTTGGTCTTCACTACAGATGCCAAGACACATATTGCTTTAGATGGGAGACTGGCTGGAATTGTGATACCCAATGATGGGAAGTGCCACATGAACAGCAATAACTATTATGAAGCTTCTACCACACTGGTGAGGGTATTTCATGTTGTAGCCACAGGATTGGGATTAATATAGCTACAAAAATTGTTCCATTATAGCTGATGATACACATGGCTAGAATTCCATGAACTTTAGGTTTACTTTCTCTATGTTATCTAAGTTAAAAGTTAGTTTAGCCTTCCCTAGCCTGGTGTCCTCCAGGTAAGCTAGATTACAAGTGCTGGAATTTTCAGTCAATGAGGCTTTCTGTATACTAATCACTAGCCCTAGGAACAATAATGTGATTCCATGTTTGGCAAATATGCTTAGTCCTGTTAAACAATGGGGCTTTTGCCATTTTGAAATAACTTTCAGCTGAACTATCTGAACTTTCAGATAGAGTCATCTTTTTGATGAGTGAGGCAGCATATTAAATAAACAAATAAATAAATTAGTATTTTCTTACTCAGTAAAGGTTCCTCCTTCATTAGCTACCCCAAAGTACTTGCTCCTTTAGCCTTTTTTTCTCCCAGTGATGATAAAGAAAATTTTATTTAGGGTGTTTTGAGCTTTCAGAAGGACAACAACATTAATGAAGGAGAAGAAGATGAAAAGAAGGATGGCATGAGAATCACAGTGTTTAGGTAGTCAGTGGGGCTTTCTAATTTGAAAGAAAAGGACATGTAAATCCCAGATTCTTCCCACTGGTTTTGGCCTTCTTAGATTCTCTGTACCGATAAAGGAGAATATTTGTAGCTTGGGTTTGAAATGAGGGGTTCTTGGTGCTGTCTAGGTTTGTTTGCTTCCTTTGTTTCATTACTCATACTAGGTAACATAATCAATGCTGGTAAAGAATGGGGTTTGCTCTCAGTTTATATTCTAGTGGCTTGCTCTGCCAGAGCAAAAGTCATTAGTATAGAATATAAACTGAGAGCAAACCCCATTCCTTACTATCACTGATGATGTTACATAATTTGGGTAATGAAATGTCTACAAGAAAACAATCAAGCTCAGACAGCACCAAAACCCCCTAGATTCTCTAATGAAAGTGAGGTTCTCAGCAATTTCTGAACAATATTACAGTCTGAAGCTTTTTTCTGGAGTGTATATTGTGTACTGCACCCTCAGTATAGGTACCCTGTAACTGAGATCAGATCATTCATTGTCCCAGGAAAAAAGCAGGCTTTGCCCTAACTTTAACAATGTTCTCAAAAGCAGTAATTTCCTATTTGGAATAAATTGTATTTTTACACTAATTTGGAAGAAAGTAAAGATGGTGTGCCTAAAAATTATGCTGGAATGTAGTCTTATTTACAGTATGTTCTGTTCCTAATAATTCTTCCCCATTATTTTGCTCTGCAATCCCTTAATTCCCATAGCACCATCCTAGATTCTTTGATGTGCTTATAATACTGTAAAAGGCAATTGTAGATTGAAAGAGGTCTCGAGATCTGGCTTTTTCATAGATAACATTTATGGGAATATCTTTAGCATGATGATAGGTTTACTGTAAATGTCTTGAAAATTTGGAAGAAAGGTGAGATACCAATGTTTTAATTAGGTACAGTACATAAAATAACTAGTAAGTGACCTATTTTTATGTTCTATCAATTATAAGCTATGATTTTTTTTTCTATGCAATGATAGGCAAGCAGATTATTCATTTGCCTCTCTTGATTTTTCTTCCCAAGGATTACCCATCTCTTGGTCTGTTGACAGACAAACTCTCACAGAAAAACATTAACTTGATTTTTGCAGTGACTCAGAACATAGTTGGTCTCTACCAGGTAAGAAGACACATTGATCCACATTATGTTTAGGGAATATTGTGGGACTGGAAAGTCTAAACAAGAAAAGGTTTGTCTAGATGTTGGGTTGCTGTTTCCTTTTTTGCTGTTCTTTATTAGAAAAAGAAATCAAAGAACTCTACCAGAGATAGGAAGAGAGTAATGCTGGCTCCCTTTTAAAACTTTTTTTAAAAAATCAGTCTGACATAGAAAAACTGTATCCCAATTTTCTTAGCTTGTATTTGTCCATTTAAGGGAAATCTGTGCTGTTTTCTTTTCAGAACTACAGTGAGCTGCTCCCAGGCACTACTGTAGGGACCTTGTCAAGGGACTCAAGCAATGTTCTACAGCTCATTTTGGATTCCTATGGGGTGAGTCCATGAATAGGAATGTCTAAAAGTTTCACTGGGTTATTGTGAGGATTTGTCTGGCACTAAAGGCAAAAGGTAACTTCTGTAGATACCAAAATATCAAACTGGTGGGGACGGGGGTGGTTGAAAAAATGCCTATGGGGAAGGAGCACAACTATGTAATTGAAATCCTGCTTATTTAATATTATAATTGTGATATACAATGAAAAAGAATAGCAACTTTGATCACATGCTCACAGTTACCATCTTGAATTTTTTTGACCTTTTTGACATGTTCTTAGCCATAACTAGGAATTTAAAGCAATAACTTGTACTTCTCAGCCCACTGCTTGACTAATATTTTTCATGTACCAAAGATACAACATAGAGTTTAGAGGATGAATAGAGGTGCAAATAGGGGGTTGATTTCTGAAAAACTCTAGTAATTTTATTTGGAATTTAGTCATTTTTTTAAAAAGAAAAAACAGATAAAATAATTGATAAATCACTGCACTTGGTGCACTTGGGGCTTTTCTTTTCTTTTCTTTTGCATTGTCCCCCATGCATTCTCTTCTTCTGTTCCTGAATTGTGGCCTTCTTAAATTTATTTGCTAAAACAAAATTATGTTACCAATATATCTACTGTGGATAATGAAGTCTTATTAAGGGCTTTGGCTGTTTTCCTTCGACAAAACTTCTGGCATTGCCTTCTTTTGAGTATAGCAGCAGGTCTCATGGCTATTCATTTATATAGGCCGATCTGAATCTAAATATATAGATGCAGTTAGCATAAAACCCTAGTTTCACATTAAAACTTTCAAAGCAAAGTTGTCCTTTATATTTCTTATCTTTTCTACTAGCACTGAATCCATCTCCTGCTTTGGAGAGTTGTCTTTGAGTTCCTTTGGACTCCTGGCAACTGGCTGGCATGCCTATGCAGTTTTCTTGGCAAGATTTCAGAAGTGGGTTTCCATTGCTTTTTTCCTAGGTTGAGAGAAAGAATGTGACTGGTACAAGATCATCCAGCAGGCTTTGTGCTTATGGCAGGACTAGAACTCATGGTTTCTTGAGTTCTAGCTAATGCTTTAATCAAAAAACTGTTTTTTGTTTGTTTGTTTTACGCTGACTGAATCACTGAACTGTTTCTTTTAATAGTTAAGATTCCTATCCCTAGTGGTCAGCTGACAGATATTTACAGAAAGTTACATTAGGAACTTTATGGCTGAGCAATCTGATCCTTGATTTCATAAGAACATAGAACTGGAGGGAGCCATTTAGGTAATGAATCCAATCCCTACTTAGTACAGGAATTCAAAGCATCCTGAGCAGATAACTAGCAGTCTATTTCAACATATTCAGTGAAGAGCATAATTGGTTCTATGCTGAAATATTTTTATTGGTAGAAAGATTTTCCTTACATTCAGATATAATCTGCATCCCCAGTAATATAAATCTATTATTCATCGTTCTATGCTCTGAGCAGACTTTTCAACAGATTCTTTTTTGAAATCCTTTAAGGCCTTTGAAGAATGCTATCATATATATTTTCAGCCTTCTCTTCTCAAGGTCATATATCCCCATTTACTTCTGTCTCTTTTCATGAGATTTAGACCCCTGACCATCCCTCAGTGCTTTTCACTGAATCCATTCTAGTTTATCTGAATCATAAGGCTCTGCTCTAAGCCATAATGGCCACAAAATGATAACATGTGCTTCATGACATCACTGAGCAAAGCAAACAATAATGTGATTCTGTCGATCATGTTATTCCCTCTGACAGCTACAGGTGTCATGTCATTGGCATTATAACATGATACACATGTCATTTGGCTTTCCTTGCCCCATTTGCTATCTATTCATCCCTCCTGGTCTCAATCCCGCTCCATCTACTCAGAATGGAACATTGTATTAAGGGTTTGGTTGTCATAGGTTAAGGGAAAGCTATTGTCTCCTATGATTTGGAAATACTCCTTCTATTAATGCAGCCTTAAATTGCAGTTGCCTTTTTTTTTTTTTTGCAGCAACATTACACTGCTCACACATACTCAGTTTATAAACAACTTCTATAGCAATATATTTTTCACTGAACCAAAATAGTAATTGAGTAGTTCTGCCTTTTCTTTGCTATTTGTTAGCATTTTGCATTCTTTACTGAGCAGCTGTTGTACTAATTCTTTTCTTGTGAGTATATCAAAGAAGCTCTTTTTGTTATTCTTAGCATCCTTTGCCAATATCCTGCTGAGCTTTAATCTCCTCAAGTCCATGTCTATAGTTCTGGACCACTTAGATGCCCCTCTTGTTTTCCATTCTTTACCATACCAGGGTTTTTCTACTGTCCCCAATATTTTTCTCACTGGAATTGTTACTGCCTTATTTTAGAAACTCCCATCCATATTTAATTGCTTTTCCCATTAGCTTTTCCTGCTGAGGAATGCTATTAATTTTTTCTTAGAATCAAGCTCAACTGAACCTCCCAACTGATCTACATTAACTCTAACTAATTTAGGTAGATTGAAGGAAATACTGAACTATTATTATTATATTGGAGATCATCGCACAGTCAGCCAGATGTTCAGACTGGATTTGGCATTTTGTCTACCTATCGAGTCCTTACCCAGGACCTGGGATAGGCAGATGTGGATGTTTGATGGTATTACAGGTATCGTCGCAGGATGGAAGCAGTTCCTAATAAGGCCGCCTTTTGCAATTGACTAATAGCAAATTTGTCAATGCCAATGGTGTTCAAGTGGTGCTCCAGTTGTTTTGGGATTGCGCCCAAGGAGCCTATGACTATTGGTACTACCCTTGCTTGCTTTTGCCACAGTCTTTCTATTTCTATTTGTAGGTCTTTGTATTTTGTTATCTTCTCCAGTTCTTTCTCTTCTATTCTGCTATCTCCAGGCACTGCCACATCCACTATCCAGACTTTTTTGTCTTTCTTATCGACAATTGTTAAGTCTGGGGTGTTATGTTGCAGGTGCTTGTCTGTTTGAATTCTGAAGTCCCAGAGCAGTTTAATTTTATCATTTTCTATGACTTTCTCTATTTTATGATCCCACCAGTTTTTGCTTACAGGCAAATGATATTTTTTGCAGATCTTCCAATGCACCATTGTTGCTACTTTGTCATGCCGCTGCTTGTAATCAGTCTGTGCAATCTTCTTGCAACAGCTTACCAAGTGGTCCACTGTTTCTTCAGCTTCTTTGCATAGGCGGCACTTACTGTCTGTTGCTGTCTTCTCAATTTTGACTTTGTATGCATTTGTCCTTAAGGCTTGGTCTTGTGCAGCCAGAATTAGTCCCTCGGTCTCTTTCTTCAATTTTCCTGCTCTTAGCCATTGCCAGGTTTTATTGTTATCTGCTTTCCCAGCTATTTTTTTCATGTATTGGCCAGGTAGTGCTTTGTCTTCCCATGCCTATATTCTGTTCTTCATTTGGTCTTTCTTGAAGGCCAGTTTGGTCTCTCCAGTAGTTAGTAAGCCTTCCTGATATACTAATTTCAGTGCATCTTCATCATTGTTCTTCAGATATTCTTCCAAAGCCATTTTTTCTTCTTCAACCATCTGATGTACTTGTAGCATTCCACGCCCACCTATTTGCCTTGGTAGATAAAGTCTATCCATGTCACTGCGTGGATGAAGGGCCTGATTCATTGTCATTATTTTTCTGGTCTGCCTATCCATTGCTTTTAGTTCTGCTTGAGTCCAGTCCACTATTTCCAAGCTGTGTACCTAATGACTGGGATTGCCCGGTGTTGGATTGCCTTTATGGTTTTCCCTCCATTGAGTTTGGACTTAAGATCTTCTTCACTCTCTTGATGTATTCACCTCTAATCTTTTTCTTGACTTCAGTGTGCTTGATGTTGTCAGCTTGAAGGATACCCAAGTATTTGTAGTATTCTTCCTCATCCAGACTCTTAATGTTTTTTTCGTGGGGCATCTTGATTCCTTCAGTTTTCACTATTTTTCCTTGTTTGATAGTAAGTGTGGCACATTTGTCCAAGCCAAACTCCATTACAATATCTTGCTATATATACGGACAGTGTTGAGCAGCGATTCTATTTCAGATGATGTTTTTCCATACAGCTTCAGATCATCCATGTAAAGGAGGTGGGATAGTCTAGCAGATGTTTTTGATGTTTGATAGCCATGTCCTGAGTTAGTCAGTATTGTTGACAGAGGAAACAGTGCAATAACAAATAGTAATGGTGACAATGAATCTCCTTGAAATATTCCTCTCTTGATATTAACCTCTCCCAGTCTCTCACCATTGATCTGCAACTGTGTCTTCATTGTGCCTATCTATCTTGCACAAATTTTCTGATGTTTCTAGCTTACTCCTGGTTATTTCTAGGCACTTGAGTATCTCAATCATGTGTGCAGAGAAGTCAAATGCCTTTTTGTAGTCAATCCATGCCACATTCACGGTTGGTTTTCCTTCTTCCTTGCAGTTTTCCCAAGATCATTTTGTCTATTAGGAGTTGATCTTTTGTTCCTCTGCTATTGGGGCGTTTCCTTCTGCTCAGGTAGAAAGGATTGTTTTCAACTAGATGCTGTTGTACTGCATCAGCTACCACACCAGTTAGTAATTTGAAAGTTGTTGGTAAGCAGGTAATTGGCCTGTAGTTGCCTGGTGTTGCCCCTTTTGCTGGATTTTTTCATTATTAGGTAGGTTTTCCCAGTTGTTAGCCACTTTTCAATTTCTCCTCCTTGTAGTATATTGTTGAACTGCTTGGCAATGAATGGGTGTATAACAGTTAAATGTTTCAACCAAAACCCATGCAGTTCATCTTCACCTGTGCTGACCAATTTTTTTGATTTTTCTTTGCTCTTTTTTTCTACCAGTTTTTGTTTGTTATTACTAGTTCCTTTCTTTTCAACTCTGTTTTATTTGCATCCACCTCTTTTTAAACCAAGCTGCATCCTTGTTGTATTTCTTTGGGTTATCCCAGTATCTGGCTTCCAGAATTGCACTGTTTCTTCCTTGTCAGGTACTGACTGATTCCCTTGCAGTTTCTCAATT